CACACACACACACACACACACACACACACACACACACACACAGAACATTATCATCTAGGCTCTAGCTCTACTCCCGCCCTCTTACGCTCCACAAGTCACGTGCGCTTACTTCCTTCCAGCCCATCTGAGGAATCACCACAGATAGAATCTCCTCACAGTACGTGTCCGCGTCACTGGTGTCCACTGTCAGCACTCTGCCGGACACTGGCTTCTCCGGACGCCCGCTCTGTCCAGGCAAGCTGGCCCTGTCCGCCAGTAGACGGATGTCACACTCGGAACATCTGGATTTCATCATCTTTGCTGGTTTTTGTAGGCTGTCAAATACAAACAAAAAGAAGCGATGAAGGAGTTGTTATTAATACTACATTGTATTTTTAGAGAGAAAAGTATAATGTAAGCTAGACAAAGGAGCAATACTTCCAGAAAAAAATGATCCTTGTGAGGCAGCTTGGTGGAATCAGGCTCTCGTCAATTTTTGGGCATGTAGAGTTATTGGTACCATCTTAAAGCTTATTCACTTGTCTTTATTTGGATGAAAAACATATCCATTTTCTTGAACACAAGTTGAGATATTTGCGAAAGAAGGAGGTGGGGGTCACCTGTTTTCAGAGGTAAAATTAGTGAGCAAATGGCCGCCAAAGATTTGTTATTTCTTTACCTTAAGAGTCCGTGGTAACTGAAAATTTTCATTTTTGTGTGCCTTTAATTAACAGTTTTCTGAAAAATCCACACAGAAATGAGTTCTTCAATGGGCATGAAGGGTGTTGAACCAAAAGACGAAAATTTGATAAAAATTCACTAACCTGAAGAAATATACAAGTTTCTTCATATTGATTATTTTGACGAGAGCCTGATTCCACCACGCTGCCTCACCTTTGGAGAAACGAAACAAAAGAATCTCGGGGTCTAAAAAATGTCCGTTCCACCTAGCCTTCTCGGACAAGGGAGTTCCACCGTGTGCTTCTATTATCTCATATTCTACACATTGGAAGAGGGAGAAATTATTTTCGCAAACAGATGATGAAACAAAACTATTGGAATTTAACCTAACAAAAACTGAGCAGAAAAGAGAGGATGGACTAAATCATTGACCTCTTAGTGCTCAGAAGGAAAGTAAAAAAGAACAGATCTACTCTGGGGGCTCTCGTGGCCTAGAGGTTAAGGTGTTGGCCTCTCATTCAAAGGTTCCGGGGTTCGCATCCGGGTAGCGACCAAAAAAAATTCTTCTGTAAAATTGTCTCCTTTCACCTCCTTTCCTGCTCTCTAGCAATGTTCTGTTGTCTGCTTTCATTTTCACTTTCTGC